CAAACATCTAGTTGTTTGAGGGCTTATTGATTATTTATCAATTGCTAACAATTGTACTGCAGGTTTTGCTAACTTTTTCTGTTCTAATTTTAAGTAATGTTCCGTCAACAAATGTCAAATCGTTCTTCTTCGACTGGTACCCTGTGATTGTAAGCTGCTTTTTAGCCGATTCAGAGCTAGCTATTATTGAACTATTAGAAATAAACTATAGGTATGAAAAAAAAAGAAGAGGAAGAAGAAGAATATTCACATCACAAACTAACATAATCTCCATTTGTCATTTTCACGTTAATGCTGTCTCCCTGAAACATTGGCCTGAATAATTAAAATAATGAGATCATCCGATTTGGAATTCACATAACGTGCAACAGCCAAGATTAAGAGGGGGGGGAAGAAGAGAAGAGAAAAGAAAAGAAGAGCGAAAAGGACCGGAGCTGCTAACATGCTGCACATTTGGACCAGGCTTCTGCAGAACGGAGGAGCGTGAGATGATTCAAGCAGAGAATCATGACTCTGCACTCGATGCCACATCTTACATCACTCTTAGAAAAACTGTAGAAATGTATCGGTGCGTGCGTGCGTGTGTTCGTGTCAACAGATTATTTATGGTTTCAACTCACCTTCCAAAGCCTACCTTCCAGCAGGAGCTGGAGGAGGGCAACTACACACAAACACACTCACACACACACACATACATACATACACACTCACCCACTCACACATACACACTCACCCACACACACATTGCACGTGTTGCTGCATGCAAAACAAAATCCTGTTCTAACACCAGATTTAGCGAGAGGTTTGTTTTGACTGTTTATGAAAGTTGTTTGATTCAACAAGAGAGATCAGAAAACCAGAAGCTACGCCATCGGTTCCTACACTTATTCAGCGTGCCCTGGCCCTGGCCCTGTGAGGTGAACTCCCTACCAAGCCAACACATTCACAACTGTTACTTTAAAACTCCAACAAACTTATTTTAACCCTGTAATTTCTAGGAAAACAAAAACAGAAAAAAAGAATTTCCAAATTTCCACATTTGCAATTCCCGCTGTTGTACAAATAAAGAAAACATAACATTGGTTAGGGCTGGGCAATTGATCAAAATTCAAATTTGATTACCATTTTGGCTTCCAACAATTATGAAAACAAGATAATCGACATAAATTCGTGCTATTAGTAAAACTTTCGGCCGAAAATGGTTTTTGACTGAAAGACTTTTATCAACGAAACAACACGGCCAAAACAGGAAGTTATGATGACGCAAGCAAAAAAACTTTGATTGTGCCACGGATAACGATTTGCAAAACGTATAATGCTGACATTTCAAGACGGGGTGAAATGTTCACTCACAGAGTCTGTCAGCACACGATTCACTGAGATCTATTCGGATCCTCTGCACTTCGTCGCGACTCTACTTGATCCGCGTTATAAAGATCATTACTTGGATGCGGGATTAAAGCAACGCTCACGAGAAGAAATCCAGCAGTTGACTTAAAGGCACTTTGTGTTTTTTTCATGAGAGAACATATTTAACTTCACAATCTTTCAGCATGCCAGTAGGCCTGTACGTTACCATTTAATGTACACAGAAGCGGGGCCAAGTTTAACATTTTATTGTACACAGAAGCGGGGCCAAGTTTAACACTTTATTTTATATTTTTCATTGTTGGAATGTGCTAAAAAAAATATTTTCATAATTTTGTAATTGGTTTATTCTTTCAAACATTAATATTAATTGATGCAATAGCCTTAGTTTTATTGAGGTTTAGTTCACAGTCATGGCCATAAATGCAATGGTTCTAATAACCGGCATAATCATTTCTTTCGATGTTATGGTTTTTCGGCCTTGGTTTTCTCATTTCTATCTGTGTTTGTTTCCGATTGCGCTGCTCTTTGTTACGAGAACACTGCCACATAGTTTTGGTTATTTATGTAGTATTTCCATACATATTGCACCGGAGCAGTTAAATGACCCAAACGCAGCTGATGGTTTTTTATGAGAAAGCGCTTCATTCCAGTGGATTCAATACACCAAAACCTACCGACCGTCAGGAGCAGAACTCAACCGCACACTCTGGTGTTCTATATAAGATTTGTATGTGTATCCGACAGACATCCGACTCCTAACAGCATAACAGAACATAATGTGCATGCCCACAGCCCCGTCCAAACGCAGATCACGGCACCAGACTAAAAGGAGAGACAAATTTAGCAAAGGTCTAGATGTTGCCTAATGGGACACAGAAGTCGACCATTATGGGTCCCACACTGGCCTTTTTCCCCCAGTCTCCCCTCACCTTTGGATCCCTCTGTTTGCATATACATGTGTGTGAGTGTGTGTGGTTCTGCCCACCTCCAGCTCCTGCTCTCTCTGCAGGGCAAACTGTTTGAAGGATTTGACGATGATCCCGGCGTTGGAGCAGTCGTAGACAAAGATGGAGGGGCTCCCCATCCAGGTCTGCAGGTCGTAGATGGACAGAGGTATGTACTGAGTGTAGTTCTGGATCAAAGCAGAGGTATGTACTGAGTGTAGTTCTGGAACAAAGCAGAAGAAGAAAAAAAAAACAGGGATAGAAACTCGTCAATAAGAACAAAAAAGAGCAGCAATGTCTCTTCTCATTGGTTAATGTTTATATATTTGTGTTTATCTTCTGTCTATAGTCAGACATCTAATGGTTGGACAGTCTGTGCTGTGGAAACTAAGGCATTGTACAATGTACAAATGATACCATAAAGGGATAAAAAGTGAGGGCTGTGATGAAAAGCCCGGTTCTGGTGCTTCCGGAGAAGTTTTAATACCAAATGGAAAATTGAAACCCAGAGCACAGCGTCCGCCCTGGACATCTACTGATGGTGTGGTTGGAACACCAGTGACACAGCAGCCTGGTTTTTACAGGAACAGTAACAAGTATGAGAGAGGCAAAAGACATAAAAGAAGGTGATGGGAAAAGGAGACGAGGACATTACACCCCAGGGTGTGCTGAAGGTAAAGGGCGGGGGCTAAGATCAGACCAGCAGAGCTGGTGGGTGCTTTGTTTATTAGTCCAAACAACTTCAGATACTACGTCTGATTCCCAAACGAACAGAGAGGAAAAAAAAAACAAAAAAACTCTACGATCGCTGCCAGATCATTTTCGTCTGAAATTACTTGCACTTTTTAAAACCACAAGACTTTTGTTTTCTAGAAACCTTCCGACAAACTCATTTATTTTACATTTATTTGGACACAAGAAACAGAGGCTGCTGCTGTGACCAAACCTAATATCTGATCTGATTTTTTTTATTTTTTTTTTTAAATCATTTTTGATGCTGCACAGACACAGACGCCGAATACCACATGTACATTTTATTGTTTGTAGCCAGGAAGGAATTAAATTTGGGCTTCTAAAAGAAAATATTCAACATTACTTCATAAAATTAAACGATGTTTTCTTCTGTCATCCTCTTGAATATTGGGTTTATGAACAGTTTTTCATATTTAACATCAGCTTCCTATTTTAAACAACATTATGTTGCATTTGTATAAGTAGGTTCTTCCAGGTCATCTCACCCAAAAATAATTACATCGAAGGTTTCTTGAAGACGTTTCACCTCTCATCCAAGAGGCTTCTTCAGTTCAGAACTCACGATCTTCGGGTTGCATTTGTAATGAGTGAATAAATGTCATCGTAAAATAACTGAAGCGGTAACTTCATCTCTTGTTTTGTTTAATTATTTAACATGGAATAAGGCAAAAAATATTTCCCAGTTTCAAATTTACTGTCGAAATGGTAACGCTGATGCACAAACTTCAGCACAGCAGAGGGTGCTAAAGGACCTCACTGAGTGATACCATGGGAAATTTGGTGATAGTAGTAATAATAGTGATAGTAGACGAGACCATATCATTCTACTGGTTTCACCAACTTGATTTGTCTAAGTGAATACTACAAATCACGTCCTGTACCTTGTTGAAGACCCAGATTTCTCCATTGACTGTCGGCCGTGGTACTCCGTGACCATTGTAATGGAAGAGAACTCGTTCCTCCTTGGCGTTCCTCCGCAGCGACGTGCACAGTTTTTTCACCTCGTCCACTGTAGGATCCAGGCTCTGTTTGTAACGCGCCTGAAATGCAAGGAAGACATAAATGTCACTTTCGTTGGTCAGGGTAAAAAAATAAATAAAAAATACAAAACTTATATTTTGTGTTAATCTTCCATCTGATAATAACTTTTTAGTTTTTGGGTTATGTCTTTAAAAAATGAATGTCAAACCATTTGTGTTTTCAAAGTACTTGGGTACTTTTATACCTCAGTAGCTTGTTGAATCGCACAAAAGTTGGATCACACCATAAACTGTCAAAACGTTAATTTTGGTTCAGTAAATCACGGAAACTGAGTCACAATTATTTTGACCATCTTTCCTGTTGTGATGCCGTTAATTCTACCTGAATGTAGGCAGAATTACTCAATTTTTAATTACAAGAAACAGAAAGAAAAGTTTGGGATTAACATAATTAATAGAACTTTTTTAAAAATCTTTTTTGCAACTGATGAATTTGTATGGAACAGGGTTAAAAAAAAAACAGGGATTTACGTAAAGTATAGTGGTGTTTTTTCCCCGTTGATGAGGGATTTTTCTTTTTGTTTTCTGTACAAATCTCAAGCCACATACTTCATAAAAAAAGCTATTGAACCGTTTCTTTTGAAACAGCCTGAAATATCAGGCTGACCGCCACCAAGACGAGCAGACAGAATAACTCCCCTCGATGTAAAAGCTAACCTCTCCAAATCACAAGCGAGAGAGACTACACATATAAATAGAAGCACATCATGACTGGGTTGATACAAAACCTCATTGACATTTCCCCTGCAATTTAAGATAAACATCTTCTTTATAAAGCAATACTATTTCTGTGCTCTGATATCGGTAGAAAGCGACTGAAGAGTGGACAAACGTGATACGACCATTCTGTTTGCACTCATCCGCTGCTGTTCTGACGCAACGGCGTCATGCTCCTCAAGATGTCAGACCATTCATTGACATTTCATGTTCGTGTGGAAAAAGGAAAAAAAATAGCAAACCCAAAATGTCAAATCACATGGAGGAAAAATGATCCTGCAGGGCAGGAAAAAACGAATGCCTTCGAAAGCTAATCAGAGTTTATGCATGAAAAAGTCATGTTTTCCAAAGTTTCAAGAAGCCAATGGAGATAAACTGAATATGTTAATAAAGGGAAGGCAATAAAACACAATAAAAATAAAGTCACACTTCTGTAGGAAACCTTGTTTATTGCTTTGATGCCAGCTTTATTGTGGCGCTCTTTGTTTTCGTTGATATTCTCCACAAAAAGCCAATTTTATTTATGGGCCACATTAAAGGCAGCGGGAGTTCAGCCAAGGTGCTTTACAAACGCGCGGGGATTAGCCGAGGCGTAAAAAGAAACAGATAGATAACACATTTTAAAGCTGCCTCGTACGATCAAAAACAAAAACCTGCTATTTAAAATGTAAGACTGGGTAAAATACCAAAGCTTGAAAGAGAAGGATTGTGGGACAGGAAATGATTTCACAGCGTAGACACGGTGAAAGGAGAAGTGAAATGTAAAGAACAGCTGATGAGATCATTGGCAGACACACATTTAAAAATATGTGTGTTTTTTTGGGGGGGGCTACCATTACTACCCTTCATTCACTCCGAGATATCAGGTTGTAACAGCAGGTACTTGGAAGTGAAGACGCTTTGTGGATAAAAGGGAACACATCTTCAAGAACCACAAGGCTGCCCAGATGTCTACTACAGAACGACACGGGATTTCTTTGACTGCATTACTGTAAGTAAATGACGTAGACTTCCTGAAAAAGAGGAAGATGAACAGAAGGAAGTCAAAGCTCTGTCAACGTCTGGCTGAGAAGTTGATGCAGACAAGAACTGAGCAAACGGAGCTGCAAAGGCTTAAACAAACAAAAACAACAACAGCGTCATAACAACTAGATTGGGTTTTGCTCCTTTTTTTTTTTTTTTTTTTTCAAAATGCATGAGAACTCATTTGCATAATCTCAATCAAACTCTCATCAAGGTGCAATTACAAGCAGCTTGGTTGCGTGAAAACAGTTCCCGGCTCTTTTTATGAATAGAACAGTGGAATAGCTTTTATTGCCACTGTTGCAGGAACAATTAAAACCGTTTTAGTAGTTCTTCAACTCTAACAACAACAACTCTATGTAGGCACTATATAAACAGCATGTTTTTGGTATGAACATAAAAGGGGTTATTAGGTATGAAGGCAACCTTAAGGTTTTTACTTCAAATTAAATGATGATTTTTGTCTACAGTACAGTAGATTATAGTATGTCAAACAAACATAAAGCCCTCAGGCCAAATGTGGCCCACCTCATCATTTTTTTGTGGCCCACCAGGGCTTTATTATGCGTATAGTCTTAAAATCTTTATCTAAAAAGTCCACCTAAATTTGTTTACACATAGTGAACACGTGAAATTTCCACAGGTGACTATCTCCTACAGTCAAATCCACGTCAATCTTTAGGGTGTCTTCAGGTCTACTTTCATCAACACCTTTAGAATCCACCCAGACCACCCCACATTTACATACTCCTATTCATCCACATACAGACATTCAACACCTTCAGTGCCTTCAAAGACATTCCACCCCGCCTCAGTCCCCCTTTACACAAAAGCCCCCTGGCAACAGGAAGTCTGGCCTCCACCTGGAATACCTTTTCCAGGATTCCAAACACACACTTCCTGACTGCTCTCTACTGGTCAGTTACTGTTACACTAAGGCACGTAAAGCTGATAACCTTATTGTCTTATTCCAGCGCTGGACAGATATTGTCCCAAGCATCTACACCTTGACTCGAAGTGTTGTTGAAGCTAACTCTTCGGATTCATATTTGTTTCTAAGACCTACGGACCATGTCGTGTAAGTAAATTAAATTCCAATATATAGATCTTTTCGTCAATCAGCGTTTTGGACAAGACGTCTACAACTAAAAAAAATTTGCAAATGTAAAAACACGTGAACCAAAAGAGAAACTCTGAGTAATTTTAAATTCAAAACTCAACCTCAACAAAAGTCCAACATGTTTCCTCTGCCACCTGTCGCCCGTTAACACGGAGCGTCGGCAGTTGCCGTGATTCTGCTCCGTTCCCCAACTGTGTTCGACGGGAGATAAACACGAGTGTCAGCGAGTTATGCAACAGAAAAGCAGCCGTTTTGACCAGTGTGAATCACAGTCACACACTCACCAAGGCCCTTCTGTTACACAACCTGATGCCTTTCCACCAAACAGCCCGCCTCCTGTCATGTAGCCCTGTAACTTAGGAGGAGCCATATTTTTCTGCACAACTTTTTCTAGTTGTAGTTCGAACCACTGGGACCGACACGAGCCATCATTATAATAGGCAACTGGGGTTTTTCAGAGTGCGCAAAGGCCCAGCTTTATGCGCATACAAAGGTGCAATTAAAAACGCACCCTTGAAGGATTAAGTTGTTTTCAATAAACTGATGCTGATAACCAAACCTATATTTTCACAATTTATATTTGAGAATTGTGTAGCTTTTAATTATATATTTATTTATAAATAAACTATAACTAACTAAATTATATATACCATTTATATATAATACATGGTTAGATAAAATGTTTATTTATTGAATATTATATATGATATATATGATGTGTATATATACACATATATGACATATATATGTATATTTTTTTCAAAAATGCATCTACCATATTATCACAGCGAAATTGTCATTTTAACACTTCAAATATGAAACATCAAATTAAACATTAAGCAATAACAATATAAACAACATCACTCCCTCAGGGGGTTGATAAATCTTTCACCGCAAATGATTTATTACGACGTAATTTCCTGAAAGAATTTAATAGTTGACCCGTTGACATCGGTGTTGTTTGCGGTGATTTGTTTACAGCGTTGCCTCGTGCATGCATAAAAGGCGGTACTGCAAATCGGGCAGGTACTTTAGATCAGGCAGCAACAACGACAACAACACTGGCCACTTGACGTTTTCACTTCCGTTGAGGAAGGACAAGGATTTGTTCGAGTGTTGCACAATTTGTAAAAGTTTTGTGGGACTTGCACAAACATTGGGAACATTGGTTTGCGCCGCAGAGCCACCATAAACATCACCTGTTTCATCACTACATAGTCATATCGGACATCACACCCTGTTGCGGCTGCGATGAGTCTCTCGTCACTATCAACAACACTGTTTGTAAGCCAATAAATATTTCCTCTGGATTCCAGACGACCGTGTTTCTTTCCACCACTAGTCATTTACCATCTGTGATATGATAAACATTTCCTGCACTGATGTGCAGCAGCCATCCAGCAAATCCCTCTCGCTGTCAAACTGACTCTGCTTTTACTCATTTGTTTGTCTGGATCCTAGCAAAACACCAATTCAAAAATGATACATCTCCTAGACACAAAAAAAAAAAGGGAACATTGTTGGATGCGTGTGTCATTGGTCAGCGAAAGCAGAGCAGAAATGGAAAAGTTTTGTTTCTCTAAGCTTTTATTATGATCATAAAATGTGGCTTTAAAAAAAATAAAAAATAACACTATCTTTGTTTTTCAGCCACACCGGCTGGCGGTTACGACATCCTAATGAGGATGTTGGAAGAGGCAAGATGACTTGGCCAAAAACAGGCTTTTTGGGCAGGTGCAAATATTTTTTTCATTCAATACACCAACTTTTGTTACCTCAACTTTGAAGCAGCAACAGCTAGAGATATCTCTGAAGTTCCTGTAGAAACATTTGTTGGCAAACTTCAGAAAGTCAGATTGAAGAGCTATTAATTACAGCTTTCATCAATGTTTGTTATTTAATCAGTTTAAAAGAGAATAGTGTCATTAACCCAGAGGTCCACGATCCTGCTTTCACTCTTTTGGGCATGTTTTTTTTTTTTTGCAGTAATGTCGATTTATTTCATTGTCGACGCTTTTTTTTTTCTTATTGCCGCTTCAAGTAATGCTGTTCATGGTCATTGCTGTCATGCATCAATGCGTGTCGTTTCATATTTATCATCTGAGAGCTTTTGCCATTTTATACGTTCATTGTGAAAATG